TGAGTGGCACGACACACTGAGGACTACTCTTGCTGCTCTTGGGTTTGCTCCTTCTACTGCTGACCCGTCGATGTTTCTACGCACCGACACCACTCTGCCGCCGTTCTACGTTCTCGTGTACGTAGACGACTTGGTCTTTGCTACTGCTGACACTGAGGCACTCGCCCACGTGAAGTCGGAGCTGCAGAAGAGACACACGTGCACAGACCTGGGTGAGCTGACAAGCTATCTTGGCTTGCGGATCACCCGGGACAGAGCACAGCGCACCATCACCTTGACTCAGTCACACATGGTGCAGCAGGTCCTTCAGCGCTTTCGCTTCACGTACTCCTCGCCACAGTCAACTCCTCTGCCTACCGGTCACTCGCTCTCAGCTCCACCTTCGGACGAGTCCGTAGAGCCGAGTGGCCCATATCCAGAGCTTGTGGGCTGCCTCATGTACCTGATGACCTGCACTCGACCTGACCTTGCTTACCCTCTTAGCATCCTAGCACGCTATGTCGCTCCTGGCCGACACAGGAAGGAGCACATGGATGCCGCTAAGAGGGTGTTGCGCTACTTGTGCAGTACGTCAGGCATGGGGCTCGTGCTTGGAGGACGGGCCCGAGTTGTCCTCACTGGTCACGCGGACGCTTCTTGGGCTGACGACTTGGCTACGCAGCGGTCGTCACAGGGTTACACCTTCAGCCTTGGCTCCGGCTCTGTTTCTTGGCGGTCTACCCGCTCTTCTTCTGTTCTCAGCTCGAGCTGTGAGGCTGAGATCTACGCATGGGCCATGGCTGCACAGGAGTTACGCTGGCTCACCTACCTGCTGACCGACGTGGGAGAGGTGCCTCGTTCTCCGCCAGTTCTGTACGTCGACAACAAGGCCATGATTGCCTTGTGTCAGGAGCACAGACTGGAGCACATAACGAAGCACATCGCTCTGCGCTACTTCCTTGCTCGAGAGTTGCAGCAGCGTGGTCAGCTTCGTCTTGCTTACGTGGCCACTCAGGCCAACACTGCTGATGTCTTCACCAAGGCACTCCAGCCTTGTGATCATCAGCGTTTCTGTATTGTTCTAGGCCTTGTGCCTACTGTGCCTCACTTGCTTACTTCTTGACTCTGCTTGTACTGTGATCTCTATACATATACCTGCATGCTTACACTTGCTAGGTTGTGATCACTGTATTGCATGTTCTTCTTTATATAACTCTGCATGTGAACTGGCCTTGTGGCCATTTGCTGGTGCTCAGAATGCGTGGTGACGTCGTGATCCACCCTGAGCTTGCTTTGCTTTTCTTGATTGGTCTTCTGACCCCTTGTTCTCCCCCACTTTGCCTATGGGGGTGTGTCAAACATATCTGATATAGCCTGTTTAGGCTGTAGTGGGTTAGACCTTAGGGGGTACAGCTTTTCTAGGTTTTCCTATTTGTACCCATCTCATTTCTAGTTCACACCATTCCTCGCTAGTTTTCTCACACGTAAAAGCTTTCAAACTCGCCAAATTCTCGTAGTCAGGATCATTTCGGCGGGAGTTTCATTTAGTTACCATTCGCGTTATCACTCGCCTCGGCGTCGGCCCAAGAAGCGTCGGAGTGTCCTGTGAGTACCACTGAACCCCGTCCTCCAAGCACGAGCCCCATGCCCGATGTACTGCACAAGTAACGCAGTACCCTCTTCGCAGCATCCCAGTGCACCTTTCGGTGTCTACCGGGAGCCACGTAGCGAGCCAGGAGGCTGAGAGGGTACGCGAGGTCAGGTCGGTGTGCACGTCATCAGGTACATGAGGCAACCCACAAGCTCTGGATACGGACCACTCGGCTCTACGGACTCGTCCGAAGATGGAGCTGAGAGAGAGTGGACAGTAGGCAGAGGAGTGGGCTGTGGCAAGGAGTGGAAGCCGAAGCGCTGAAGGACCTGGTGCACCATGTGTGACTGAGTCAGGGTGATGGTGCGCCGTGCTCTGTCCCGGGTGATTTGCAAGCCATGATAGCTCCGCAGCTCACCCAGGTCAGTGCAGGTGTGTCTCTCCTGCAGCTCCGCCTTCACTAGGGCCAGCGCCTCAGTGTCAGCAGTAGCAAGAACCAAGTCGTCGACGTACACGAGAACGTAGAACGGCGGCCGAGAAGTGTCGGTGCGTAGAAACAGCGACGGGTCAGCAGATGAAGGAGCAAACCCAAGAGCCGCAAGTGGCGTCCTCAATGTGTTGCGCCACTCGCGGGGCACTTGGCGGAGACCGTAGACTAGCCGCCGGAGGCTCCACTGGGTACCCGCAGGAAACAACCCAGTGAAGCAAGGTGGGCGGCACAGCCAGATCTCCTCGTGAAGGCTGCCCTGCAAGAAAGCTGTGGAGAAGTCAAGGGAGTGCAGCTCGTAGTCACGCTGTGCTGCAACATACAGCAACACCCGAAGAGTATTCATCTTCGGGGTGGGGGAGAAGGTCTGGAAGAAGTCGACCCCCTGTCGCTGACTGAAGCCTCGAGCAACGTAACGCGCCTTGAAGGCAGGCGGAGAACCCGGCGGCCGCTTCACTCTGAAAATCCACATGCCATCGACTATGTTCGCCCTAGGAGGAGGAACCTCGTCGACATAGGTGCCTGTGGACTTCCAGGAAGCCATCTCTACGTCCATGGCTGTCTGCCACTGAAAGGAGTACTCACCCGCGATCACCTCAGCGTAAGAGCGCGGGGTAGGGATGTCAGGTGCATCCGGGTCTCCCTCAGGGCAAAGCAGCATGGATGCGAGACGAGGTAAAGCGACCGCAAGACACTCAAGCTCAAACTGACTGTCCTCAAGGACGTCACTACCAAGGGCAGGCTCACCCCCGAGGGACGGAGGTCAGACAGACTCAGACTCAGTAATAAGACTCGCGACGTAGTCAAGACGGCGTCTACATCACACATTTACCTTTGTTCGATTGCAAGTTGCGTTTCGCCTTCCTACCGATAGTGGTTTCGCGCTGATTGCCAGCGGTTAGGTTGGGAAATATGCTAACAGGTTTCTCGCAATTGTTACTGCCCGCGAAACTGCAAGAACCCAACACGCGAAATTTACGTGCTGATAGTTGGTTGTTTGAAATTTCCTGCGGGTAGATCGTGGGATTGTACGCTGTGATTCTAGTGTTGACGGAGAGTTTGTATAGTCCTGTCGCTTTTATGTATGAAATTTTGCACATATGATGTGTGTAAATGTTGGTATTTTGTAATATTTGTTTGGTAGTGATGTGAATTAATATGAACCAATGCGTCTGTAGTGAAAGATGTTTCATAAATTATCTATCTCCTATTGAATTTGTGTACAATTGTATATCCAGTTCATGACATTACTATTGTTTGGCGACTGCAGGTAATTATGCTCACAATCTATTATATTTTCCCGTTTAAGTGTTGGACACAGAACACAGTTGTAATGTTACCCTGTTAATGAGCTGTTGACGAGTTCATTTTGACACGTCATGACGCGACACCCTGGTCAGGTTCGTCGCGCAAATTTGTTTCGACCGCCAACGAATTCGCCCAAGCTGTCAGACGACGTCCCAATTGGACTGTTTTGTCGCGCGAAAATGCGACGGCCAACGATTGGTGTTGACCTTGTCGGGCGACACTCGAAGTGATCCGAATCGTCGCGCGACCACAAATCCACGCCCTGGTTCGTTCACAACTACACTGCTACCTCGCGCAACGATCTGATTGGTGCAGGTGTCGCAATTGAATTGGTGAGTGTCGCATCACCAAAAAAAAGACATCCACACCCCTTTCCCCAACACCCATCTCTTCCCTAACATCTGCTCCAACGTTCCTTAGTGAGTCGAAAATTAGGTCTAGTAATAGCATGTTAAATCCCTTGCTTTTCCAGACTTAGTTTAGTTAGATTTCAAGTGTCTTGATCACATTCAGTTTGACATTGATGCAGTTTTTCCAGCAGCAAGAGGCAGAGTGGGTGGTTTCAATGGAGCTGCTATCATTAGGATTTAGGCAGCTTCCTCTGGATTTAGATTAAACGTTTTTACTCATAGGAACTACGATATTCTGAATACTTGATTTAGTTACTGTGCTAGAGGCAGGATTACATAAAACTTTTGGATATGAACCGGTCCAAGGCGTCACCTGTTTTGGCCATCTTGGTAGCCATGATTTTCATATGTTGCAACAGAACCTTTACAAGTGGTAGAGCTTTTGAGAATCATCAACGCGCATGCAAAAAACGGCCACGTGAGCAGGAGGAGGTGGATGACTTGGTCCAGCATATTAGGCGTAGAATAGCCCAGGGGAGTAATGGGATTAGCACGGATTCACCAGCACCTTCGCCAACGGATGCTGGGTGCTCACAGGCTAGAATCTCCGCAAGCATAGCTCCATCGAGAGTAGACGACCCCCCAGAGCTTTCACGTCCCGAACCAGCCTCAATGGACTCATTGCCAGTGGTTGTGCCGCCGTTTGATATGGACAAGGCTTTTTTAAAAGTCATCCACAGTTGCAATGGAGGCATGGGATTATCTACTACTGACACAAACAGCATACTAGCATTGTTCTGTCAACCCACAACGGAGACACCTAGCTATACAAACAGGGCAGGCATGGATAAGTATGCGAAGGCGTTATTAGTACAATTGACAGGAATAATGGAGTGGGATTCCATCGACGTTAGTCATGACGACAATCATGTCGCCACGCTGTACTTGACATCGCTCGCTAAGGCAGTAGAAACGTTGTTTTCATATCCTAAAAACCATAGCGGGTTTGTGTTGCGAACTGCCCCGCTTTACACGTCAGATAGCAAGCAACGCATTTACGCAGGGCCGGAGACAGGGAATATGTGGATTGAGATACAAGGCAAGCTGCCGATGGGTGCTATCCTGGCTACCGTTATAATTTACAGCGACGCGACCAACCTGTCCAATGATGGACGAGTAGTTGGTCACCCCGTTTACTTGACCCTTGGGAACATCACAGTCAAGAATAGGTGGCAGCCGCATGGCCATACCATGATAGCAATGTTGCCCCCTCTAACCAGCGTAGATGCGAAAACGGAAGCTGGAAAGGAGACGCATCGTGTGGTCTTCCAAAAGTCGTTGGATCGCATCATGCAAAGCCTCAGGGAGGCTTCCAGAGAGTGAGTCTCATCTCTGCCCTTCATCTCCTCACTCTGTCCTTTCGTTCTCCCATCTCTGCCCTTTATTCCATCTCTGTCCTTTCCTTCCCCCATCTCTGCCCTTTCTCCCATCTCCTCTTTCCTTCTCCCATCTCTGCCCTTCCTCCCATCTCTGCCTTTTCTCACATCTCATGCCCTTTCTCCCATCTCTGCCCTTTCCTTCTCTAATCTCTGGACTTTCTCCCATCTCTGCCCTTTCTCCCTTCTCATGCCCTTTATCTCATCACTGTCCTTTCCTCCCCCCATCTCCGTCCTTACTCTCATCTCTGCCCTTCCTCACATCTCATGCCCTTTCTCCCATCTCTGCGCTTTCCTTCTCCAATCTCTGGCCTTTCTCCCATCTCTGCCCTTTCTCCCATCTCATGCCCTTTATCTCATCTCTGTCCTTTTCTTCCCCCATCTCCGTCCTTACTCTCATCTCTGCCGTTCCTCACATCTCATGTCCCTTCTCCCATCTCTGCCCTTTCTCCCATCTCTGCCATTTCCTTCTCCAATCTATGCCCTTTCTCCCATCTCTGCCCTTTCTCCCGTCTCATGCCATTTCTCTCATCTCTGCCCTTTCTCCCTTCTCCACCCTCTAATTCCTTTTAAAAATAGTATCTCGACACTCACAAGCACTCAATGTACACCTCATTCATCACACGTCATGACCTCCACACCTCTGTCCCAGCCCAACGGGATTTGAAAGTAATATGTATTCCCCCTCCTCACACGAGCACACACTCTCTGGACACCACAACAGCCCCCCCCCCACCTGCCCCCCCCTCCTATCCCCCTTCCTTCCGCCACACAGTTGTGCTCACCTGTGACTTGTTATCTCATTAGCTCACCTTGGCCACCTTGCAGATAATATATGCCTCTCCCTATCTGCCCCACCTCCCCCCATTCGCTACCACACTTTAACAGTGGGATTATTATGAGGGACCCTTATGGTGAACGACATCTAGTGTACTTGGTATTGTACGCGTACGATGCTGACCAACCTGAAGCGTGTAAGGTCGCTGGCACCTTCGCAAGTCACAAGGCCAATTTCCCATGCCATAGGTGCTTGGTCAAACGAGAGGACATTAGCAACATGGAAATCGTGAGCGAGTACCGTACCGAGGAGGATCAGGCAGCCAAGGTGGATGGCTTGCTCGCTATTCCCACTGTCACCGCTCGCAATGACGCCGCTAAGTTGCTGAGCATTCACCCTGTCAAGGTGAGCCATGGCCTTTCATTTGTCGTTTTCTAATGCATGTACATTGCACGGGCTTTCATTGCCTGAAGCTCAATGCTAAGTTTGCAATTTCCCTTCATTGCTACTTTGTTCTTCCATGACACAGGCTGCCATATGGGGGCTTGCCTTGGGCAGGACAGTTGTGGGCAATCCCTACCGGGCACTACTCATCGAGGTCATGCATGCTCTCGATCTGGGCATTTTCATGCACATCATGTCATGCATCCAAGTCATGTGCAAGAAAACCAGGGAGTCGAGCGTCCTAAGGCAGCTAGACCAGGTCCTGCAAGACCTTGCTCTAGACACTCGCATCTCTGGTTTCCGGCTGCCCGGTCATGAGAAGGGTGGCTACTTTGCAGGCGCGGCGAAGTTCCAAGCATTTGAACACCGTGCAGTCATGCAGGTGGCTACAATTGTCCTTGCAGGGTTGGTGGACAAAAAAATCGTGGATGCTGTAACAGCGTTTGTAGATTGCTACATGCTGGCATGCAGGAGATGGTACCACACGGACAACACTTTAGAAGAACTCGATGTCGCTATCAAAAGGTATCATGTCTAGCCACCAAACTCACATCCGTCCCCATATCTCATTGCTCTCTCTTTCTGTTTACCCTCTTATTCCCTCATCCATATCCCTTGCTAGGACTTTCAATTTACCCTTGCACTCCCACCTCTGCCTAACCCTCTCTCCTTCCTCTCACCATGCTTTCACATTCCTACCCATATCTCTTGCTCTAAATTTCAGGTCATCCTCTCACACACACCCCTGCCCTACCCCCTCTCATCCCTATTCCATCTCCTGCCTCTCACCTTTCTTCTCCCTTACACCATCCCTTCCATCTCTTGTCCCTTCACCATACCCTCTTGGGTGTATCACGTTCCTCCTCCCACCCCTGCCCTCCCCTCCCTCCTCCTTCATACCATCCTTGCACACCATCCCTACCATCTCCCCTTCCTCACACCATGCTTACATACTCTTATATCCACTCGTTCCTCCCTTCTCCTACCCTGTCCTCATTCAAGTCTCCTCTTACTCATTTTCTCTGATCTATCCCTCTCCTCCCTCGTTCCATCCGTTTCCTCACATATCCTTCCCACCCCGCGCAGATTGATTCCACAACTAAAAGAGGTATTCGGATCACACCAAGCATCGGAGTTCAACATCGGGAAAGTGCACCAACTCGCGCATTTCGTTGACGACATTCGCCGATCAGGAGTGCCCGTGCACTACAACGCCAACATGTTTGAATACCTCCACCAACCACTCGTCAAACGGGCGTACCGTGCGAGAAACAAACGAGACGCCATGCCACAAATTGTGAAGCACACAATTATGGCACAAATGATTCGCACGCTCGATGATTCTAATCACAACAAGGAGGATGCGCATCACCGAATGGTCGCACTACAAGAGGTAGTGGTTGCTACCATGTCTCCCATTTCTGCCCTTTCATTCTCCTATATTTTCCCTTCCTCTCATCACTTCCCTTTCCTCTCATCTCTGCCTTTCCTCTCATCTCTGCCCTTTCCTTTCTCTCATCTCGTCCCTTCCTCTCATCTCTGCCCTTTCTCTCATCTCTTCCTTTCCTCTCATCTCTCCCTTTTCTCTCATCACTGCCCTTTCTCTCATCTCTGCCCTTCCTCTCATCTCTGCCCTTTCCATCATTACTGCCCTTCCTCTCATCTCTGCCCTTTATCTCATCACTTCCCTTCCTCTCATCTCTCCCCTTTCTCTCATCACTGCCCTTCCTCTCATCTCTGCCCTTTCTCTCATCCCTGCCCTTCCTCTCATCTCTGCCCTTTATCTCATCACTTCCCTTCCTCTCATCTCTCCCCTTTCTCTCATCTCTGCCCTTCCTCTCATCTTTGCCCTTTCTCTCATCACTGCCCTTCCTCTCATCTCTGCCCTTTATCTCATCACTTCCCTTACTCTCATCTCTCCCCTTTCTCTCATCACTGCCCTTCCTCTCATCTCTGCCCTTTCTCTCATCACTGCCCTTCCTCTCATCTCTGCCCTTTCTCTCATCACTTCCCTTCCTCTCATCTCTCCCCTTTCTCTCATCTCTGCCCTTCCTCTCATCTCTGCCCTTTCTCTCATCACTGCCCTTCCTCTCATCTCTGCCCTTTATCTCATCACTTCCCTTCCTCTCATCTCTCCCATTTCTCTCATCTCTGCCCTTCCTCTTATCTCTGCCCTTTCTCTCATCACTGCCCTTCCTCTCATCTCTGCCCTTTATCTCATCACTTCCCTTCCTCTCATCTCTCCCCTTCTCTCTCATCACTGCCCTTCCTCTCATCTCTCCCCTTTCTCTCATCTCTGCCCTTCCTCTAATGTATGCCCTTCCTCTCATCTCTGCCCTTTCTCTCATCTTTGCCCTTCCTCTCATCTCTGCCCTTTCCTTTTTCTCATCTCGTCCCTTCCTCTCATCTCTGCCCTTTCTTTCATCACTGCCCTTCCTCTCATCTCTGCCCTTCCTCTCATCTCTCCCATCTGTTTAGGGTACTAATCGCAAGTCATATTCCACTATTTGTTTATATTGCTTCTCTACGAATATGCAGGCCATGGAGAACGGCAGAAACACTCTCGTTGCCACATCGTCCAAGCTGAACTGGAGGGATCCACGCTATGCAGGGCAGGACCTTCGGCAAGAGTACCAAACCACAGCACCCGGCGATATGTCACAACTTCAGTCCATACTTTCCCAGCTTCAATCCGATGGCATCAAATTAAGTGACCAGATTCAAGTGAAGAAGCGAATGGCGATACCTGGCGACGAGGACTTCACCAAGTACTCAAGCCAAACGCATTATGTGCGCGCATGTCCTCAATTCATGAAAAGGCCTTGGTACAGTGATGTTGCCATCTTGGGCAACGAGAGCACGGAGTCATCGGATGGCAGTGCAAGGTCCAAGAAAGTTATCTGGTATGCGCGGCTTCTGATGTTGTTTGTGGTAGAGCCAGAGGACATGGAAGCACAGATGGAAAACCAACGAGAGAGAGCATTTGTAAGGTTTTACAGGATGTCCGAGGAGGCTCATCCATCGCACTGCCCTGTGCTACTATGGGAGGAAGCTGAGAATGAGTATCATGTGGTGGAGATTAACAGCATCCTGCGAGGTGGCACATGTGGTTCCGGTTGGTGATGGCAAGTTTCTCCTTAATAAGTTCAAGTTCTATTGACCATTTTGATATTTAAGGGTATAGAGAATGTTGAACTTGTATGTTTGATCTGAAATGCATGCCCTTATACTCCTCGCTGGGATCACAGAAGCTTTCTGCAAAATATTATGATGTATGATCAAGCAGTTGGAACTTAAACATTATTTTTAGCTTGTAGAAGCAAATGCAGAATATTATCCAGATTCTAAACCTTACAAGTATTTGGATGCAATAGTTTTGAGACGCTGTGTGTATCGAGTCTCTATAATTCCAGCTAACGGAACTTCTGGTGCACACCAGCGGGAGGACCTTGTACAGTGCAAGCCTGCGCTAAGGCACTGTTACGAGCCTTGCAAGTGGGCTTTGTGAACCAGGTGAGTTAGCAAAAACGCTAGAAAATACAAGCGAGTCGTTATGTCCTCTCAAACTGCCCCTATGACACTAAACCCGATTCTGACAAATTAGGCAATGTCCACGTCAGTTTTTTCACAACGCGGGAAAGGCAGCAGTACGTTGCTCACTGTGCTCACAATTCAGACAAATGCGGCAAAGTCCACGCCACATCTCTGCACTAAACGGGTTTTCTCGAGCATGAGCTGAACTGCCCGCCGAAATTTCACATTCTGACACCAATGTGCGCTACCGCGAGTGAAAACTTTCGCGCGTAAATGCAACGTCGAACTTAAACGGGAACCCCGTTAAGTGGGCCATGACTTTTGTAAGTGGCAATCTGTGTAGTTTTTAATGGGGAACTTGCACAGAGCAAAACAACCTAGTTTGACCTCCTCAATCCATTTCCCCACCCACACACCCTGAACGATCTCTCACGGAAGTGTTTGTCTTGTCTAGGCGCTCATGGCACATCTTCCTCGTGAGCGTGTTGAAGCGAGGCGGAAAAGAACCAGCTTACCTAACTCGAAGTACAACGATTTTGAGACTGACTTACCTCGCAACCGGCCTCGTTTAGGAGCGTCCAGCAACATCCAGAAGACACCCACACCACCCAAGAAATCCTCATTGGTCACGCAGCTACCTGCCGTTACTAATCTTGCCGCCAGTATTTCCTCCGCTGATGAAGCTAATGATCATGCGCTTACCCCTGTCACTCCCATGGTTGAGGGTGATGCACCGACCTCAGCGGGGAGTGTCAAAACATATATGCTTATGTACTTTAGGCTATATGGGTGTTAGCACTAGGGGGTACACAATTCCTCTCGATGTTGTTCTTGTTCCCCTCCCCTTCACCTAATGACCAACTATTCTTCTCACCTAATCTCGACATGGTATAGAGCGGGTCCTTCCTAAGGACCATTTTTTAGAGGGCCCACCGCTTATATTTTTTTTTCCTGCCCGAAATCTGCCCTGCCCTGCCCTGCCGCGCGCGCAGCCCGTACAGCCCGCGCCAGGCCCGTTTAGCCCGCGAACCGCCCGCGCGTAGCCCGTACAGCCCGCGCCAGGCCCGTTTAGCCCGCGAACCGCCCGCGCGTAGCCCGTACAGCCCACGCGCCGCCCTCGCGCAGCCCATACAGCCCGCGCGCCGCCCGCGTACAGCCCGCGCACGGCCCGCACGCAGCCCGTACGGCCCGTGCCAGGCCCGCACGCAGCCCATACAGCCCGCGCCAGGCCCACGCGCAGTCAGTACAGCCCGCGCTAGGCCCACGCGCAGTCCGTACAGCCCGCGCCAGGCCCGTGCGCACCTGCCCTGCCGCCCGTGCACTTGCACTGGCCCTGCACCTCGCCGGCCCGCTGTCCCTACTGCCCTACTGCTGCGACTGCCCTACTGCTACTGCACTACTGTCATTGCCCTGCACAGTGCAGTGCCAGCAAGCGTGGCTGCCCTGCCCTGCCTGCACATGTAAGCTCTGCCCCGTGCACCTGCCCTACTCCGCGCTGCGGCTCTGCACGCGCGGCTGCCCTGCCTTGCCCCGCACTGTTGCACTGCTCGTCACGTGCCCCTGCCTGCAAGCCGACCTGCTAGCATCCGCCCTGCCCTGCCTGAGCGCCGCTAACAGCCGCGCCACCCTGCCCTGCTGACTGCCGCCCTGCCCTGCTGCCTGCCGCCCTGAGAGTCGCCCTGCTGGCCACCGCCCTGCTTTGCCCTGCCTGAGTGCTGCCCTGCTGCTAGCGCGCCCTACTGCTCTGCCCGCTATGGCCACTCTCAGTGTACTTTTGTTCGATGCAGAGGGCCGTCCGATACAGTTCGACTCGTGGCTAGATGACCTGCAGCTGTTTTTACTGAGCGATTCTAAGGACGGTGTCTCGCTGTTTGACCTTACGTCTGGCGCCTCTCTCGCCCCTCCCGACATAGCTGACAGTGTGACTCGCTCACAGTGGCTTACCCGTGACATTGCTGCTCGCCTAGCCGTTCGCAACCACCTGCCGTTAGCCGAGCGTGCTCACTTTGGCCAGCACAAGACTGCTAGAGCCCTGTACGACGCTGTAGTCGCTCGTTACTCCTCCCCGGCCACTGCTGCTTTAGGCCGTCTTCTCCTGCCCTACCTGTTCTGAGAGATGTCCGCCTTTGCCACAGTAGCCGACCTCGTCACTCACCTTCGTACTACTGACACTCGCTACCGCGCTGCGCTTCCCGCCGAGTTTCTCACCAAGAACCCTCCTCCCATGTACATCACTCTCTACTTCATAGTCACGCGCCTCCCTGACTCTCTTAGTGCTGTTAGGGACCTCCTGCTCGCCCTTGACCCCACCGACCTCACTGTCGACCTGCTCTAGAAGCACCTCCTAGCAGCTGAGACTAGCATAGTCGCTGTAGGCGCTTCTCGTGGCACTCCTCGCACTCCCTTCTTTGAGGGGTGTTCGCCCTCCCCCCTTGTCCCCTCAGTCGCGTCTGCTGCAGCTGTTGACTACCTTCGTGCTGAGGAGGTAGGAGCTGCATCTGCCCCTAGTGGGAGGCGCCGCAGCGGCAGGGGCAGGGGAGGCAGGGGCGGTGGGGGTGGCAGCGGTGGAGGCGGTGGTGGGGGTGGTGGAGGCGGTGGAGGTGGCGGTGGTGGCGGAGGGAGTGGTGGTGGGGGTGGAGGCGTAGGTGGCGGCGGTGGAGGCGGCAGTGGGAGTGGTGGTAGCGGCAGTGGTGGCGGCGGTGGGAGTGGGGGCGGCGGCAGTGGTGGCGGCCGGGGTGGGACCAGTCAGAGGGGAGGCTTTGGCGGTGGTCACAGGCAGCAGCAGCAGCGTCAGCGTAAGACCCCTTCGCCCCAGGAGCTTCGTGAGTGGTTTGTGTCAGAACTAGCAGCAGAAACAAGAATGAAGAAAGGAGGGGTTTCACTAGCAAGCAGTTGGATACATATAGCAAACCCTAATTGGGCTGTAATCACTATGGAGTACCCCACTGCAGGCTAGACAATTATAACATTCTGACACACCCCCATAGCCAAAGTGGGGTGTAATCAGCACAACAAGCAAGCATAGTAATAGTTCACAATTACAAGCAAAGCTAGAGGCAATCACAGAGGGCAAGTGAGGAGGAGGAGTGACTGTGAGAGGAGAGTAGACTGGAGGCGACGGCTGAAGCTGCAGTCACACGGGCAACAGAAGCGGCTAGCACAGTGGCTACCGGAGCAAGGGCCCCGGACTACTGGAGTAACAGACTTCGCGGCTACGACGAGCGGCAGGAGCAACGGACCCACGGGCGACTGGCGCAGCAGGCTCACTGGGCTACCGAGAGCAAGGGCTCCGGACTACTGGCGCTGCTGACGACACGACGACGACCTCCACGCAACCTCCCCCAACTGTCCCACACCCCTTTCACACACCCCTTGCAGAAACCCTAGCTCCACTTCCACGTCACCCCCCTAGCTCCACTCCCCGCGGCTCCCACACCTCCACCCCCCTCAGCAGCAGCTGCAGCAGTGGGAGACGAACAAGGAGGAGGGGAAAGGGAAGGGGAGCACCCACACCGCGCACCCCCATGCTCGCCACCCCACACCCCCCACCACCGCAGAACGCACGGCGGCACGAGAGTAATGGGCAGCACGGGGGGGGGGGGGGGGGACGGGACAGGAAGGGGCCGCGAGCGCCTAGCCAGGGCGCTGCAACGGACCAGCAGGGGCCGCGCGCGCCTTGCCAGGGCGCCGTGATGGTCCTGCAGGAGCCGCGCGCGCCTGGCCAGGGCGTCGCGACGAAACAGCAGGGGCCGCGCGCGCCTGGCCAGGGCGCCGCGG